GTGGGTAGCTCACTGTCTTGCTGTGGTGTGGGGGTGGGTAGCTCACTCTCTTGCTGTGGTGTGGGGGTGGGTAGCTCACTCTCTTGCTGTGGTGGGTGTGTGAGTATCTCACAGCCTGGCTGTTTTTCTGTGGATCTTGAAGGCTCTCCAGTTTTCTTCCTTTTCACGTTTTGGTCATCTCAGGTGTTGAGCATTTCTGTGTGAGTTTTAGGACCCTCCTTTTAGTGTCTGCTGAAGGCACCTGGAGTTTGCTCCCCATTCCCTTCCCTCTGTAAGTGCCTTGGGGCGCACGAGCCCGGGTGTCTGTTCGTTTATTCTGCTCTTTAACGTCTTTCAGTTCAGTTCTATAGTTATCAGTCTAAATGTCGAGTACTTTGATTACATTTCTCCCTAAATATTTTACTCTTATATGTTGCTATGAAATAGAATCATCTCCATAATTTCATTTTCAGACTGTACATTGCAAATGTGTACAGTGCCATTGATCCTGCATATCGATCTGGTGTCCTGCAGTCTTTGATGGACTTAGGTTAAGTGGTTTAGTGAGTGTGGGTTCTTTTGGATCATCTGTTAATGAAAATGGTTTGTGCACCTTCCTGCCAATCCGGATTCTTTATGTTGCATTGTCTTGCTAAATTATCCTGACTTGACCAGGCATGGGCATGGTGCGAGTGTGGGGACCACAAGAACGTTGGGTGACCTGTTCTCTGCCGTTCTCCCTTCAGACAGGGTGTCTTACTGACTCTGGAGTGAGGATGCCGGGTGTGATCCCAGCAGACTCCTGCCTCACCCATGGTCCTTGTCTTCACAGCAGCTTCTGTGTGGGTGTGGCCAGTTTGAAATCGGTCCTCTAGTTGGCGCAGGACTGTCACCCACGGCGGCCTCACCCAGCCCTCTTGTCTGATGATTGTATTTTTTGTCTGTCTAGTTTTGTGTCTTTACTGTGTCAGTTCCTTCTCTCACTCCCAGTTTTCAGCTTGGTTGGCTCGTGTGCTGTTGGGGTCCCCTTCTTGAGATGATTCCTGGTCATGGTCTTCACCACTTCTTGAGAATCACCCAGAGTGATTCAGGGGAGACTTTATCCCTTGTCCTGTGTTGGCTGCATTCCTCAAGGCTTCAGTGCTGTCCGGTTCCAAATACTTCTCATTGCAATTTGGTTTCTCTTTGGAACCATAACTTTTTTGTGAGCCCATTATTTGATTTATTAGATGTCTTGTCATCTGCCTGTCCTTCTTCTGGTGTCTAAATTCCACTGTGATTTAAGACTGCCTTCAAAGGATTTCCCTTCCCTAAAATTTGCTGAAACTTTGATTACAGCTCAGCCTGTACCCAAAGGACACATATTCTCTTTATGGGTGTGAAACCCACATGCCTCCCTCCCTCCTAGGTGCTGGCATTGAAGTTGTGACTACCACAGCTGGCACACCATCAGTTTTGAGGAATGGACTGCAGTCACCTTCAGCTGTAGTAGTTACTGTCCCTGATAACGTTTCCATGTTTTAAAGAAATAACTTACAGGGCCTTGTCATGCAGTAGCAGACAGCTCTGTCCTGTGAAGACTGCTGTCGGGTTTGTATGGTTTGCAAGCCCTGTAAGTTCACCACAGTGTCTGCCCTGCCCCTCTGCTCTCTCTTTAATAATACTTACTTCCCTTTAATTTGCTGCTCAAGTCCTCGTTCACAGTAAGGATCACAAATTTTGCCTGAGAATTTGGGACTTCAGTCCGTACCTGCAGATACACTGTATAGCAGTGATCCCTCACATTTGCTTATGCCTTCTGTCTCGTTGTAGAGAACGGTGTGAATGGCACAGTCACTTCAAATGGAGCTGACTCTCCACGGAACAGGAAAGAGAAGTCTTCGTAATGGATCGGAAACTGACTGATTAATGTCCCCCAAAGAATCTGCTTTCTACTCTATCTTTCAGCACTAGCATTTTTTTCTGTTCTTGAAAATACAGTTTATGCTCTTTGATTTTTGCTGTTGTACTGTTCCTGCATCGTAAAGGGCATTTGAGGGGAGGATGATTACTCTGAGTGAGAACATATTTTAGCTTAGACTCAGCTACCTGCCTTCAAAATAGTTTAGGGACCACTTTTGTTCTTTCTTTCTTTCTTTCTTTCTTTCTTTCTTTCTTTCTTTCTTTTTTGTCTTTGTGTGTGTGTGTGTGTGTCTTTAGTGTTTTTTCTAATGGTTTGGGGAGAAACCATTTACAACCCCCACACACACACACACACACACATAACCAGTGAACATTTTTCTTGCTCTCACCAATTTTTTTACAATATTATAGCAAGGTGACCTATTCTAAGAAGGTCATATTTTTTAAGTTGTCTTTCAGGGTCAAATGGAAATACTATAAAGTCAGATGTCAAACTTTTAATGTTTTCAGTGTTCTCTAATTTTTAGAAGTTTTTTGTAGCCTTTACACCTGGAAAAAAAAATTTGTAAAATTACCAAAATAATTGTGTGCTTTATTTTCTAAGTCATGGTTGTACATGTTACATCCCATTAAAAAGTACTGATAGCTACTGCAAGATTTATTGCCATCTATTGGAGCAGATGTCATCTATTGAAACAGATGTCTTATTAACACAAGGAAGTGTGAAGTACTTAGGAAATGAAGTCTTTTTGTGCATTTTCAACATTTATCAACTGGCAATCAGAAAATGTTTACTGTGAAGAGGAATATTCAACTTACATAGACCTTTTTGATATGTTTGGTAGTGATTCTTAATGGGGCTTGTTGTAAGTTTGATACGTATAGCATCTTAATGAGATACCATTTAACCTGCAAGCCCTTTTAAAAAGTAATGCCTACTTGATTTCTATCTATTAAAAAAAAAAAAGGTGTCAGGTAATTATATTTGGGAAACTAATGCACTAACTTTAAAGAAATTGAAAATTCAGGTGGATAGTCTTAACAGAAGACATGCTTTATGTTATAGCTTTGGACCCATCTTTAATTGAGAAATGTTTATCTGTATAAAACATATTTTTGGATAAATATATATACATATATATTTGTATCTACAGAAAGGCTCTAAAAAGCATTTGCGTAAACTCCTGGTTCCCTTTTCTATGCTTGTGCTCGCATCCTGCGCTTTGTCTGTCATGTCATTCAGCACATGCAGTGCTCCATTGGTCCCGTTTCTCACTCTGTCACCAGCTAAAAAATGTCCGTGCCATGTTGAATATATAAGCTACAAGCCTCAGGCCTGTGGTTAAGTTGCCACGCTGCTAGAACATGCTTTCTCTTCTCTAGCTGATTACCTACTTCCTGGGAAAAGTAGTCGCTCTCTGTAGCAGTACCAAGTTTGAGTGGAACCAAATTTCTGTCCTTAAAACTGGCATTATATTGAACTATACATTGAGAAATCGAAATAAAAAATTTTTAGTTTCACAAGCCGCTTCCTGGACAATTCCTTCACTGTAATGTTTATGCTACTTTGAATGTATATTCTCATTAAAGTATACTATTAAAAGATGAATCGATTTTTCATAAGCATATATGCTTCCTGGTACTCAAGCAGCGGTGGCTGTTGAGGTTTAGTGAGCACTGTTTCCTCCTCTGACCAGAACCTTTCTGAGTTATTTGCGACACTTGTGTTTGGTGCCTTAGACTGTATTTCAGGGTGAGGGGAAGAAATCACAGTCTAGTTGCTTCCAAGGACCTTGTAGAAAGTGTCCTTAGTCTTCCAGTCCTGCTGAGAGCTGTGCTACAAACTAACAGAGAAAAAGCTGTAAAGCATGATGGGAAACAGACCTGTGAACTGGGGGGGTAGCCACTGTTGGCTCCTAGTCTCCAAATGGCCTTGAACTACCCATTCTGGGATTTACTTTTTCTCCTTAAGATAGTTTCTTTCCTGAGATTAGAACAGATGCAAAGAACCTGGTTGGAATATTCAAGAATGAAGATATTAATCACATTCTGCTAATCATAAACAATCTTGCAAAGTCCTTAGGTTCAGAACTCTTTGACCAAGTTTCTCCAGGAAATGGGAAGATCTTTGTTGTAAAGATGTGATTAGTGCCCGCTAACCCTGCTGTCTCGAGGGTGCGGTCAGACATGCTCACTGAAAAGGGAATTCTGATTGCCTCTACATGGACAACAATGAGCATGTCTTTTAAGAAGAAAATAAATTAAGCACCTGTTTGTATATTGTGAGCCTAGGTTTAAGAAGAAACCCTAGAGAAAATTCTAGGAGATGATACTTTAAACAGATGTCAAAGAGGACCGCATTGGCATACAGCCTGTTGTAGAAGATGAACTGAGAACAGCTCTAGCGTCCTTGTAAAACTCGGCATCTTCAGAAGGCAGCATGCCTTCACACAGCTCCAGAGCACACAATGAAAACTATTTACAAAGCCAACCCAGTTCTGTTTGTTCAAGCATGAGCTGCTTTACAAAAAGTGCACTAGTAGCTAAATGACACATTAACAGGGTTTGTTGAATACTATTTGGAAAAAGGCTAAACCAGTTCGTCTAGTGGATAGATAATATATTTTTCCAACCTGCAATCAAAGTCTGAGTGTCTTGAAAATAAAACAATTTAAGAGGCCCCATCCGTAGCCATCAATAACCTAAGTAGACCATAAAAAAAAAATCCAGAAGCTTCATATTTCAATCCGTTTAAGTAATAAACAACTTCATGAGGTTCAGCTGACCATCCAGGGATAAGACTAGTTAACCTGCCCTCAAGCCTTGATGACATGAGTCCTACAAATACAGCTTTGTGTCACAACTTTCAGTGATAAGTTCTTGATGTTTTTTCAACCTTACAGTGGTTCAAAAGCTTACCCATCCATTCTGCTTCTTGCTATTAAGACGGTATTCAGTAAAGTTATAAGAGGTATTCAATGCTTTAGTATAAAACAGGTGTGTGCTAGATGATTTTGCCCATCTGTAGGCTGGTGTGAGCATTCTAGACTATGCTGTGATGTGTGCTAAAGTGGATTTTACATTCATAGATTTTCAACTCACAATGGGGTTTATTGGGGCGAGGTCCCACAGGCTGAGCAATAGTCATGGAACCCACCCCTCTGGGTAGTCCCTGTACATAGGGCACTGAAACCCTGTACATCAAGTGTGAGTGTGGCTATGTATTGTCACTCTTCCTGTTTGAAGTTTCACAGCTTCGTGGCACATGATGCTTTTGCCGTGCAGTGCCAGGGTTCCATGGTGACTGCTCTTGAGTATGTGAGCTAATGGAGTGACAAGCATCACAGCCCGTGGTTACACCAAACCATTTGAACACTGCAACCATATTTAACAAGACAGATGTCCATAAACAGCAATCTCTGGAGACTTACAAGTGACATAATCATAAAATCCAGTCCCATGTGAAGCTTCTAAAGATGCTGTTAAAACTGGATACAGTTTATGAAGCCACCCACCAATTGGCCAGTTCATAAAATGTCCTGAGTTTTCTGCTGCTTGGAGTCACTGTCCTGGTGAGCAGGACATGGCATGATGGTCTACTAACTTTGAGCTGATCTTGTAAAATGTCCTGGAAATCACATTTCAGCAAGTGGGCCAGATTCAGGTCACTACTGAGCTCAGGGGCAAATAACATCATGCTGATGATGCAAAATCAAAGTAATAAAAGTTGTTTGTAACAGGCCAGAAGACAGAATGTCTATACTGTATCTTCTAAAAACAAGACAAATAAGTAGGGTTGTAAATGGATTTAGGCCTCTGGGATTAGGGGCTGGAAGACTACTAGGAATATATTGGAGTGATGGGTGATTTATGTATTATTTTATATGAAGCTTTAAAAAAATCATATGTATAGCTGGGTTGAACTTCATCTTCAAAGAGAAACTTTCAGAACTATACCACCATCTGTTGTTCTCAGTGGACAGAAAGCCCGATTCAAACCCAGAAGGAATGTCTTTGTCGATAACAGTATACTGGGTCAACTAGTCTCCACACAGAATGCTGGTACAAAAGGAATGTGAGAGAGACAACCAAAGCAAAGCTTCCTGGGGAGAACACTTATAGACGGCTCAACTAACCATCCTACAAGAACCATCCTTTCCTATTGACAGGATCTGAATTTTGCACAGCGTACATATGAGTTGGGTTTTTTTTTCTCCCTCTTTTTATGAATAAAGAACTTTAAAAGCCATCATGTGGAATGCAGCTTCGTGTTTAATCACTGTTCTCCTTGTTTGGCTGTTCTGATGAGCACGGTGTTCTAATTACAGTCAGTCCTGCAGCTCGTGTTTAGTGGCCATGCCAATCACGCCCCATTATATACCACTGTAGAGAAAGTGCCCAGAAGAGGCTGCTGTACTCACCACACTCATTTTCCACTCGGCTCCATCCACGTCAGTGTCAGCGTCAGCACTGCAGCCTCCAGAGGTGAGAGCCTCTGAACTGGCTGTACTCATTAACCCAGCCGTCCTTGACATTTCTTCTGTATTTTTCCCTGTTACGTGAATTCTCCACTTCCAGCCTGCAGTGTTTTAGATAGATTCCTTCAGCTGTGTCTTATGCAGGATCTGTGCTTCATCTGAAGTCCTGCTAGCTTCACACTTGAGGCCAGATAGAAGACAAGTGTTCTGAGCACTAGTGGCAGACAGCGTGGCCAGCATGGGGCCAGGGTGGAAGCAGACCCTGCGTTCAGAGCAGTGGAAGTGACTTTCTCTTTGATGTTCCCAGTTGCATGGAAAACAAGTTAGCGTTTGCATTTGTAATTATTTTTATTTTTTTAGGAAAGGTTCTTGCTGTATGATCCATACAGCTTCTAACACTGCCATACAGTAACCTAAAGGCTCAGATGACGGTCACCTGGATAGGACATTTTATATAAGTCTCACTTCAGAAAAACTTAACCATAATGGTTTCGGACCTGCTATGCCCTCGTTCCCTTGTAGGTCAGCAAGTGTCAGTTCTTACCCGGACATGTTCTGTCTACTTTTCCTGTGTTCACTTTCATACATTTTCTGGTGTTACATTACACTAGACCAGCCTCCATTCTGAGAATTCCTAAAATACCCATCATAGTACAAAATGCCATAAACCGGATGCCTTATTAGCAACAGAAGTTACTTCTGTCACCTTGCAGGTGGGGAAGCCCAGGATCAAGGCACCAGCAGATCTAGTGTTAATCTGGTGGAAGGGGTAAGCATCTCCCTCAGGCCTCTTCACAAAGAGGAATCCATTCCCAGAACCCATGGGAGTCCCTTAGCTGCAAATTCGCAATCTTGTAACATCATCATGAGGTGGGGGTAGGGGAGCTCCACATGAACTTGGAGGTGGAGCAGAAACTACAATCAGCCAACAACATCGAGAATACTGTATGTTGTTGATTCTGAAGCCCACTCTCTTTAAGCAATGGTGAGTTTTTCAAGGCAGCACATGAAAATGCTTTGAATGCTTACCTCCTGAGTGGGCCACCTTCATGGATGAATTTGTGTTGGTGTTTCGGGAAACCCATGAGTCCCATGTCCTCCCCTGCCAGCTCTGGCCACCTCTGCCACGTGATGATACAGCAGGCAAGCTTTTACTAGGCAGGGGATCTTGCACTTGCCGGCTTCTTGAATCTGGACACAATAACTTTCTGCTTATTATGAATTACCCAACTTTACGGTCTGTTATAACAGCACAAAAGTGACAAATCCTTAGGGTGTGGTAAAACAAGATTTGCTAACATTTATTAATTTTCTTTAACATTGTTAACAGCCTCAGTCTTTCAAGTGCTCAATAATGCCCCTCCCTGACACAGTCCACTGGCACCCTAGAAATATAAAAGGACCATTTTCAGCCTCCTTTTATAAATGTGGACTCTCAGTGGTGCTGGGTGATTTCCAAGGGTTAAAAAATCCAGGCTTTTCAACAGGGACACGTTTGGTAGCGTCTCTGCCCTCCACGAGGTCCTAGTTCACCAATTGTGTGCTATAGGGAGGTGGCAGCTCACAGTGGGTAGGGGAGGGGAAGAAAGAAAGACAAAAGAAGACAAGGCTGGAGAGAAGACTGCCCTCTAAGAAAGGAGTGAACCAAGGTGCCCAGGGTGAGGGTGACAGGTAGGAGCAGAGAAAGGAAGCATTCGTGACCACTTGGGACAGAAAGCACAGTAGGCCAAGGGAGGCAGGCAGGGCAGGGACAGGGACATCTGGCTTCCTGACTCCACGTATTCATAGACTCCCACCTCTCATGGTGACCAGCAGGAAGCTCAGCCAGCAGGTCCACACAGTGCTGAGCCTGGTAAACGAATCTGATCACCCTCCCACTACCCAATGCCATGCCCGCCCTCAGCAAGTCTTTTCTCCTGTGAGGACACAGGCAATAATAAAACCTCTTTGGACTCCCCTAGGCAAGGTCCCAAAGCCTGATTGTAAAGTACCCAGGTATTTTCTCATAAGTGAATCTGGACAACACAAGGCTAGTTCTGAAGGAGC